CCTTCAATAAACCAATGACAAATAGAAAAAATGTATTGTACGCTCGACCCTACTTTAAGCCAACAATAAGTTGAATTCTTACAAATTTTGTCTCTGATTAAGCTTTTTTCATTAATTTTAGGTTGAAGACGAAAACTAATCATGTTTTATTCTGAAATGAAATCTAAAAATTGTAATTTTAACTTTTACAAGTTTGTAAATAAAATTCCAGATAAATTTTAAAAATTTCTATTTTGATGAAAAAACTAAAATCTAGGCATTATTGGATTAATAGATGAATATTTGACAGTATTCCAGTTGGTCAATACTATTTTTGGCAATTTGGAAATGCCCGCCTGTCAATCAAATCATGGCCACAATCATTTTATTTGTCTTTTTCATAGTTTATTCGCTAAATATAAAGCCATGAAGTAATTAAGAGTGTAAATTATATTGATTAGTGTTCTATCAATGTAAAATATCTTCTCCGGCAATAAAATGTAGTCTTTTATCAAAGAAATTTATCAGTATTTGCAAAAATTTATTAAAAATTGCTATAAAAATAAGTAAAAATAACAAAATGTGCATAGTGATGTTTATTTTGTCACAAAATATTCGTTATTCGAATACTTTTATATTATAATTAAAAATATATATGTTATATTCATTCATCTGAACTAAATATATATTTATTGTAGCCATGTATATATTTATTTTTCTTCAAAGTTCGTTCTTATTTTCAAAAATGTGTTATAACCAAAAATATAAAATTAAGAAAACCGACACAACGAATATTTTATCCTAATTGTTCGCAACACTAACACAGAAAATGACAGCCAAATTGTACAGTGCTGCCAAGTTAAACAATAAACAGCACAATAGTTAATGTAGATTTATTATTTGTTTATGATTACCACAATTTTATTAATGGCTTTTAAGTCTAAAGTGTACTTTAACTATTGTGTGATTTAAATCTAAAATAAGCATTTTTTATGAATCAGTTGTAATTCAGGTCTGAGTTGGGGAACAACTCTCGCGTCATCGTTTTTATTTCTTAAGGACGGTCAGGCTTGTGCTTGTTGCTGGGCTTTCGACAGAATTACTTCTCACCCCGCACTAATTTAATGCACTACTTCGTATAACTGTTCTAAGTTATGCGTTGTCTTCATTAAACGCGTGCTTTCGTTTTACCTCAGAGTGAGGTTATGTATTTAACTGGTGGAGACCATAAAATACTCACGATATAACCTGGTGGAGACCATTTAAACTCAAATATTTACTGGTGGAGACCATTAAAACTCTAAAACTTTTTTCTGGTGGAGACCATTAATACTTTTGATGAAATTAAGTCCGGATGCTCCAACTTCCTATATGAAGGTATAGGTCGGTTGGTGGGGTTTTCTCTGGACAAACGTGTGATAACCTGGCAATATGAGTGCTTAATGTACCGCCATCCTAATTAAAACCCGAAAAAAAAAAAAAAAATTTTTTATGAATACAACTGCTAGTCAACAATAAGATAGTAGCGTGATGTTGATGAGGTTTTGGTGCCCTTAAAGTAGTCCACTGTCTACATAAAAGGATGGGAGAGTAAATTGGCTAATGAACGAATACTGGAAATTCTTGGTGGTCAAAATGCCGTGGAAAAATAGGATGTGTTTTACAGAAATGAAGAACCTGAGGGAACTTTATTTGTAATAGGTATCGAACAGAACTCTATGGATAGTCTTGCCAAGAATTAAGTTTGGGCTTACTTCGCCTCTAAAGCTGTCATATTCAAAATGGAAAGGTGCCGATTGGAAGGGCTGTTACAACAAGCCTCGAAAAGGACACTTAAAAACCTAAAATCACAGCATCAGTAGCCACTACTGATAACGTTGAGGAGTAAAGTCCTAAAAGCGAGGAAGTTACCACTAACTCGCCAAAAGAATGTGCAGCAGCCCTTTCCAAATTTGGGAAGGCGCCGATTGAAAGGGCTGTCTAAACCGGCCTCGACAAGGACACTAAACACCTAAGACTGTACCCAATGCATCATTAGCAAGTACTGGCAACTTTGAGGAGTCACATCCTAAAAGCGAGGAGGAAATCACTGCTATTCCTGTGCCTGATAAGGAGACCACAGTGAGATCAATAGAACCCTCTGCATTAATAGCCACTTCAGGCTACCCAGAGAGTCAAATCCAATGAGCGAGGAGGTGATCACTGGGGATGCCAATCGGGACTATCTTTTACAAATTCCGGAATTCGGGATTTTAAAAATTGCAATCCCGGGATATTTCGGGATCCCGGGATTTCGGGATTACAGAAATTTAGTTATTTTATACATGAAAACCTTAAATCTTCATGTTTGTGAAGAAAATTAAATCTTGTGGAAATTAATTGACAGAAGATAAATTTAAATTAAAGCAATCCAATTAATTCCAATTCTTTTAGAATATCATAATTTCAGAAATTTGGTAACTACATACATACTTCCTAAATAAAACTAATTATCACGTTCAATCCTTCGAATATCAATTTAGATCATAAGTGAACCTTTTCTTTGGAAAATGTTATCTACATTCAGAACAATTTAATTTACCTTTACCGTTATTACTCAGATTTGTAGAAAGCTTGAAATGCAAAACCTTCTAGATATCATTTAAAAAATAAATTTTATATTTGACTGTGCCGAAATAAAATAAATATTCCAGTATGTGATGGAATTCGAACGATTTGAAATCAATCGATTTGAAAAGATATGATGAATTTTCTTGCAAAATACTACGCAGACAACAAAATACTTTCCATTTAAGAGAATCAATTTAAAAAAATTTGATAATTTGTGTAGAAAGCCGCAGAAATTAAATATATATCACAATTTTTGTATTATTTTTGTAGATTCAAATCGATTCGATTTTAAAAATGAATTTCATCAAATAGCTGATAGAAATGTATTGATATTTTCAGATGATTTTCAGATAAGGTCCTTTTAGGATTTCTTGTATTAATTTTGATCCAAATTTGCGGCGTAAATAAAATGAGTCTACTATAGACAAAGAATGTGTATACTTTTTAGGTCTACGACGAATAAATTTGTTTGTACTATATATGGAATCATACCACTTTAAAAAAATAAAAGGTTCAAAATGTACAAAATCAGCTGAATTTTGTTCTGCATAAGTCAAAAATAATCTAAGATCGTAATTTTCAAGCGAATTGAATGGAATTATGGCTCAAAAAAGAATTTAAAAAAATGTTTGTAACAAATCCCGGGATTCATTTTGAATAATCTCGGGATTCAGGATATCCTAATCCCGAAAAAATCCCGGAATTTAAATTGCAAATCTCGGGATTCGGAATTTTCCAATCCCGAAAAATCCCGCGATTTTCGGGATCGGCATTGGCATTCCAAGCGATCACTAAATCTCTTGAAGACGGTTTAATGTATGACCATGATTGAGGTTATCCAAATTAACCTCCATCGGAGCAAGACGGCTACCAATGCTCTGATGGCTAAAATTAACACAGATAAGATAAATATAGCTTTAATCCCGGAACATTTGATGATTCGCAACAAGGTTTGAGGATTAAGTCATGTAAATTACCAACTTTTCTACGCTGATACGGGGTCTCGACCGAGAACATGTATCTTATGTCACAACAACTTATGTTTTCTCATGTTTTCTCGTCTAAAACTAATTGGAGGATATAGACTAAAAAAAGGATATATACGACAAAGTAGAAACGTTCACAAGTGCCCTGGTTGAATCGTTCGAGGACAGCTGCCCTCTGCGAGAACGGAGATCTGCTCACGAGAATCCTTGGGTAACAGGGGAGATACGGAACCTTGGGAATACTCTTCGCAAACTATTTAACCGGGCACGGCGAAAAAAATCGCAGCATACTGGGATGAGTATCGTAGTAAACTTGGTGAATATAAGAAAATTGTTCGAAAATAAAAACGACACTCCTGGAAACTTTTCTGTGAACAGGTAGACAACGTCATTTACTCTCGAAGATAAAAGAATTCCTATACAAAACTCATGTCCAACCGAAACCTATGATCGATGACACTTGCAGGAAGCTGGAGGATATGGAGGAGACAATGAAACTCCTAATGGACTCCCACCCGGTATATCGAATAACATAGAAGAACCGATATTGGAGGAAGGGGAGGCTAACACGGAAATTGTAATTACATCTGATATAGTTAAAGGGGCAATCAAGAGCTTTGCTGCTTATAAAGCTGCAAATGGAAGCGAGACTGGTTTCCGTACATCTGTCTTAGATATTCACTGCATGCTTGAAATTGGCATATATCCCCATTAAATGGCAGAATGCAAGGGTAATATTTATACCCAAACCAAGGAAACCTAGCTATGCGACACCTAAATCCTATCGACCGATAAGTCTTACGTCCTTCCTACTTAAAACCTTGAAACGGATAGTCGATAAAGCAGTATACCAGACAAAGACCTTAAATTTAAGCAGCATGCTTATGTATATATGAAAACCGTTTCGAGAGCAACCGCTTCGATAGCAAACTGTATACACTGGCGGTATGCATTGACATCGAAAGCGCCTTCAATAAAGTGTATACTGATACTCTTATCCAATCCCTAGATCAGTTTTATGTTGACCGGGTGCTCCGTAACTAGATCAACTACATGCTAAGGAACAGATGGATATGATGCGATATAACTATCATTTATGCTCCCTCAGACGGACCTTCCACGCAGTGAAGGCGTACGTGGACTGGGCAACTATCTTACAACAGCGATTTAGCCTAACGCTGAGGGGAGCTATTAACAGCTAATTTATTTATTCACTTAGTAGCCATTCAGGCCCTCGGCACTGCTTTCAACCACCTTGACTTTAAAAGTGCGTTACCCCAATAGTAAAGCTCCTATCAACTAAGATTGAACCTGCAATGGGTAATAACGTAACATATTTTTCATGACAGTAGACTGACAATCTATTAATACTTACTTTGTATGTGTGGCACTTTGCCTACTTGAAATATAAAAACAAAAAATAGCTCATGTTATTTCAATTAGATCTCTCTTAAATCTCTTGAGTTATGAATTTATTTTTCGGAATTAAAAAAAAAAATAATATGGACAATTTATATTAAATTTATTTCGTTTCTTATTAATAGGTTAATATAAAAAATGTATCCGTTTGCTTAATTGTTATGTCTTATTACAATAATAATTTGTTTGATATAGACTGACATAGAAAAGCCTTTTGTCTACCCCTCAAAATAGAATGTTTTCTGTTATCATATATATTCACCGAACTATGTAGTATGTTTGGCCTAGTAAGGATTTAAAATATTATTTTATATAAAATCATTTATTACAAAATAACACGAATTTTAGTATAAAATCGAATACATTAATCTACGTACATCTGTATATGGAGTTTATTGATGATTGTTTTTGGTATATTTATGTTCTTGGTGGTTTAATTAGTTTACTAATGGGTGGTGTCAACTTACAAAACCCCGCCGCGTCAAAAACAGGGAGTAGTTCACGTACACGACCAGGAATACTTCCATCTAACATTCTAAAATAAATATATTATTAATTTTATACATATATTTAATTTTTAAAACAAAATAAAATATATGTACATACCTTCTCTTATATTCTATTTTAGCCCCTTTCAATGAAATATTTGTCTCCGTTGGGAAAAAAGTAGCATCGTAAAAATTAAGGCCATTTTGTAATAGTATATTATACTCATCAAGTGAAGCAAGTGTTACGCGTATAACAGCAGGAGGCAATTCTTTCTTTTCGACGCGATCAGTTTTATCAGTTCCATCTGACTTTGGAGCGGGTGATGCTTGAAAAAAAATTTTACAATTGCAAACAGAATATACATATAAATATATGTACATATGATTTGTTGTTTTTAGTATATCTATACATAAAATTCTAACGTTACTGTCTGACCGACTCACTGATTGATTCATCATCCCACAGCCTAAATGCCTGAAGCTTAAAACTTGAAATTCGGACAGGAGGTTGTAATCCTGACAAATTGATCTACTAAGACGGGATTTTTGGAAATTCGAATTATTAACGTCTGTCCAGTTAGCAACGAAAGATAGCAACGGTAGAGAAAATTTTGGGAATTAAGTGGCAACACCACAGGGGAAAAATAAATTGCTTAGCTAATAAAAAATACCATGGAAAACTCAATGGAAAGAGATGGGAAACACAAAATGGAATCGAGACTATATATAGTCTTGGAACTATAGTTCCTTGTAAAATTAGATTCCTCTAAAAATCGTTGCTGGTGAACTGTAATCGTTGCTGGTGAACTGTATAGGATCTAGCGAGTGTCGCGCCAAAAACCCCTTGGAATATCGTAGGAGACATGGTAAGGATTGAAAAAATCCTTCCGTGCAAAAAATCGGTAGAGCAGATCCTTGGAAAATTGGCTTCCTCCAAAATGGTCAGTAAAATCGTTGCTGGTGAACTGTATAGGATCTAGCCAGTGTCGCGCCAAAAACTCTTTGGAATATGGTAGGAGACATGGTAAGGATTGAAAAAATCCTTCCGTGCAAAAAATCGGTAGAGCAGATCCTTGGAAAATTGGCTTCCTCCAAAATGGTCAGTAAAATCGTTGCTGGTAAACTATATAGGATCTAGCGAGTGTCGCGCCAAAAACTCCTTGGATTATGGTAGGAGACATGGTAAGAATTGAAAAAATCCTTCCGTGCAAAAAATCGGTAGAGCAGACCCTTGGAAAATTGGCTTCTTCCAAAATGGTCAGTAAAATCGTTGCTGGTGAACTGTATAGGATCTAGCGAGTGTCGCGCCAAAAACTCCTTGTATTATGGTAGGAGACATGGTAAGGATTGAAAAAATCCTTCCGTGCAAAAAATCGGAAGAGCAGATCCTTGGAAAATTGGCTTCCTCCAAAATGGTCAGTAAAATCGTTGCTGGTAAACTATATAGGATCTAGCGAGTGTCGCGCCAAAAAACTCCTTGGATTATGGTAGGAGACATGGTAAGGATTGAAAAAATCCTTCCGTGCAAAAAATCGGTAGAGCAGATCCTTGGAAAATTGGCTTCCTCCAAAATGGTCAGTAAAATCGTTGCTGGTAAACTATATAGGATCTAGCGAGTGTCGCGCCAAAAACTCCTTGGATTATGGTAGGAGATATGGTAAGGATTGAAAAAATCCTTCCGTGCAAAAAATCGGTAGAGCAGATCCTTGGAAAATTGGCTTCCTCCAAAATGGTCAGTAAAATCGTTGCTGGTAAACTGTATAGGATCTAGCGAGTGTCGCGCCAAAAACTCTTTGGAATATGGTAGGAGACATGGTAAGGATTGAAAAAATCCTTCCGTGCAAAAAATCGGTAGAGCAGATCCTTGGAAAATTGGCTTCCTCCAAAATGGTCAGTAAAATCGTTGCTGGTGAACTGTATAGGATCTAGCGAGTGTCGCGCCAAAAACTCTTTGGAATATGGTAGGAGACATGGTAAGGATTGAAAAAATCCTTCCGTGCAAAAAATCGGTAGAGCAGATCCTTGGAAAATTGGCTTCCTCCAAAATGGTCAGTAAAATCGTTGCTGGTAAACTATATAGGATCTAGCGAGTGTCGCGCAAAAACTCCTTGGATTATGGTAGGAGACATGGTAAGGATTGAAAAAATCCTTCCGTGCAAAAAATCGGTAGAGCAGATCCTTGGAAAATTGGCTTCTTCCAAAATGGTCAGTAAAATCGTTGCTGGTGAACTGTATAGGATCTAGCGAGTGTCGCGCCAAAAACTCCTTGGATTATGGTAGGAGACATGGTAAGGATTGAAAAAATCCTTCCGTGCAAAAAATCGGTAGAGCAGATCCTTGGAAAATTGGCTTCCTCCAAAATGGTCAGTAAAATCGTTGCTGGTAAACTATATAGGATCTAGCGAGTGTCGCGCCAAAAACTCCTTGGATTATGGTAGGAGACATGGTAAGGATTGAAAAAATCCTTCCGTGCAAAAAATCGGTAGAGCAGATCCTTGGAAAATTGGCTTCTTCCAAAATGGTCAGTAAAATCGTTGCTGGTAAACTATATAGGATCTAGCGAGTGTCGCGCCAAAAACTCCTTGGATTATGGTAGGAGACATGGTAAGGATTGAAAAAATCCTTCCGTGCAAAAAATCGGTAGAGCAGATCCTTGGGAAATTGGCTTCTTCCAAAATGGTCAGTAAAATCGTTGCTGGTGAACTGTATAGGATCTAGCGAGTATCGCGCCAAAAACTCTTTGGAATATGGTAGGAGACATGGTAAGGATTGAAAAAATCCTTCCGTGCAAAAAATCGGTAGAGCAGATCCTTGGAAAATTGGCTTCCTCCAAAATGGTCAGTAAAATCGTTGCTGGTAAACTATATAGGATCTAGCGAGTGTCGCGCCAAAAACTCCTTGGATTATGGTAGGAGACATGGTAAGGATTGAAAAAATCCTTCCGTGCAAAAAATCGGTAGAGCAGACCCTTGGAAAATTGGCTTCTTCCAAAATGGTCAGTAAAATCGTTGCTGGTGAACTGTATAGGATCTAGCGAGTGTCGCGCCAAAAACTCCTTGGATTATGGTAGGAGACATGGTAAGGATTGAAAAAATCCTTCCGTGCAAAAAATCGGAAGAGCAGATCCTTGGAAAATTGGCTTCCTCCAAAATGGTCAGTAAAATCGTTGCTGGTAAACTATATAGGATCTAGCGAGTGTCGCGCCAAAAAACTCCTTGGATTATGGTAGGAGACATGGTAAGGATTGAAAAAATCCTTCCGTGCAAAAAATCGGTAGAGCAGATCCTTGGAAAATTGGCTTCCTCCAAAATGGTCAGTAAAATCGTTGCTGGTAAACTATATAGGATCTAGCGAGTGTCGCGCCAAAAACTCCTTGGATTATGGTAGGAGACATGGTAAGGATTGAAAAAATCCTTCCGTGCAAAAAATCGGTAGAGCAGATCCTTGGAAAATTGGCTTCCTCCAAAATGGTCAGTAAAATCGTTGCTGGTGAACTGTATAGGATCTAGCGAGTGTCGCGCCAAAAACTCTTTGGAATATGGTAGGAGACATGGTAAGGATTGAAAAAATCCTTCCGTGCAAAAAATCGGTAGAGCAGATCCTTGGAAAATTGGCTTCCTCCAAAATGGTCAGTAAAATCGTTGCTGGTAAACTATATAGGATCTAGCGAGTGTCGCGCAAAAACTCCTTGGATTATGGTAGGAGACATGGTAAGGATTGAAAAAATCCTTCCGTGCAAAAAATCGGTAGAGCAGATCCTTGGAAAATTGGCTTCCTCCAAAATGGTCAGTAAAATCGTTGCTGGTAAACTATATAGGATCTAGCGAGTGTCGCGCCAAAAACTCCTTGGATTATGGTAGGAGACATGGTAAGGATTGAAAAAATCCTTCCGTGCAAAAAATCGGTAGAGCAGATCCTTGGAAAATTGGCTTCCTCCAAAATGGTCAGTAAAATCGTTGCTGGTAAACTGTATAGGATCTAGCGAGTGTCGCGCCAAAAACTCTTTGGAATATGGTAGGAGACACGGTAAGGATTGAAAAAATCCTTCCGTGCAAAAAATCGGTAGAGCAGATCCTTGTAAAATTGGCTTCCTCCAAAATGGTCAGTAAAATCGTTGCTGGTAAACTATATAGGATCTAGCGAGTGTCGCACCAAAAACTCCTTGGATTATGGTAGGAGACATGGTAAGGATTGAAAAAATCCTTCCGTGCAAAAAATCGGTAGAGTAGATCCTTGGAAAATTGGCTTCCTCCAAAATGGTCAGTAAAATCGTTGCTGGTAAACTATATAGGATCTAGCGAGTGTCGCGCCAAAAACTCCTTGGATTATGGTAGGAGACATGGTAAGGATTGAAAAAATCCTTCCGTGCAAAAAATCGGTAGAGCAGATCCTTGGAAAATTGGCTTCCTCCAAAATGGTCAGTAAAATCGTTGCTGGTAAACTATATAGGATCTAGCGAGTGTCGCGCCAAAAACTCCTTGGATTATGGTAGGAGACATGGTAAGAATTGAAAAAATCCTTCCGTGCAAAAAATCGGTAGAGCAGACCCTTGGAAAATTGGCTTCTTCCAAAATGGTCAGTAAAATCGTTGCTGGTGAACTGTATAGGATCTAGCGAGTGTCGCGCCAAAAACTCCTTGGATTATGGTAGGAGACATGGTAAGGATTGAAAAAATCCTTCCGTGCAAAAAATCGGAAGAGCAGATCCTTGGAAAATTGGCTTCCTCCAAAATGGTCAGTAAAATCGTTGCTGGTAAACTATATAGGATCTAGCGAGTGTCGCGCCAAAAACTCCTTTGAATATGGTAGGAGACATGGTAAGGAATGAAAAAATCCTTCCGTGCAAAAAATCGGTAGAGCAGATATTTGGAAAATTGGCTTCCTCCAAAATGGTCAGTAAAATCGTTGCTGGTAAATTATATAGGATCTAGCGAGTGTCGCGCCAAAAACTCCTTGGAATATGGTAGGAGACATGGTAAGGATTGAAAAAATCCTTCCGTGCAAAAAATCGGTAGAGCAGATCCTTGGAAAATTGGCTTCCTCCAAAATGGTCAGTAAAATCGTTGCTGGTAAACTATATAGGATCTAGCGAGTGTCGCGCCAAAAACTCCTTGGATTATGGTAGGAGACATGGTAAGAATTGAAAAAATCCTTCCGTGCAAAAAATCGGTAGAGCAGACCCTTGGAAAATTGGCTTCTTCCAAAATGGTCAGTAAAATCGTTGCTGGTGAACTGTATAGGATCTAGCGAGTGTCGCGCCAAAAACTCCTTGGATTATGGTAGGAGACATGGTAAGGATTGAAAAAATCCTTCCGTGCAAAAAATCG